CATAACTCCATCTCCAGAAGCACCTCAACCACCACCTATTCATGTATACAGACATCTGACAAAGTGCATTTCCTGCAGACACCCACAAAGGCATGGAATCACAGGAAGACATCCAGACTTAGGGCACATGCAGCAGTGGCCCTTTTTGGGTTATCCTCTGCTGCATAACAAAGCATCCCCAAACTTAGTAGCTTAAAACAACAATAATAATTTATTTAGCAATTTGGCCAGAACTTGGCAGGAAAGAATCAACTGTGCTGCATGTACTGTCAGATGGGATGGCTTGACTAAGGCTAGATGCTCACTCATATACTTGGCAGTTGACACTGGCTGTTGGATGGAACCTCAGCTGGTGCTGTAAGCCAGACACTGACAAGTGGCCTCTCCTTGTAGATGCTTGGCCTCTCAATCTGTTTTCCATTGCCATAACAGAATACTACTAACTGGGTTTTTAATCCTGAAATTTATAAATATATTTTTATATAGGCTGGGTAATTTATAATGAACAGAAATTTATTTAGCTTCTGGGTCTGGAGGCTGCCAAGTCCAAAATCAAGGGGCCACATCTGGTGAGGGCCTTCGGGCTACATCATCCCATGGAGGAAGGACAAGTTCAGGAGAGCAGAGCAGGGCTAGACTCTTTTTTTAATAACTCCCTCTCAGGTAACTACCCCATTCCCTCAGTAATGGCATCAATCCACTCATAAAGGTGTAGTCCTCCTGACCTAATCCCTTCTTGTAGGCCTTACTACTTAATAATTTCACAATGGCAATTAAGTTTCAGTATGATCTTTTGCAAATGAGAAGGGGACCAAGAGATAGAGGGAAGGGTGGAGGAGAGGAGAAGGAGTTGTGAAAAGAATTAAGAAGTATTATGTACATGTACCAACTCCCCACAGTGAATGTACTGCAATAAAAATAAAAAGTATTGACAGGACAAAGTATCAGGAGGACATTCAAGCCATAGCAGTCTCCCCATAGTTTCCATAGTTTCTGTATCTGTAAAATGGAGATAGTATTAGTACTTACCTACCTCAACTATTGTTATGGAGATTAAATGAGGTAATACAGGTGGGCATGGTGGCACACATCTGTAGCCCCAGCTACTCAGGCTGAGATGGGAGGATCATTTGAGCCCAGCAGTTTGACTCACCTTGGCAACATCACAAGACCCTGCCTCAGAAAAAAATAATAAGATGATATATATAAAGCATTCAACCTAGTGCCTGGCACATAGTGAGTGCTGAATCTTTCGTAGTGATTTGAACTCTTCTGTGCCTGTTGCCTCTGCAGGCATCATGCTACAGACTGAGCAAAGTTAAATCACACTTAAATACACATATGGGCACTTAGAAACTCACACAGGAGATCCTGCTTTATATATTTACTTAATATTCCAAGTAATGATCTCACTCCTAACTCTACATGCAGCAAAGACATTGTACATTATCACACCAGGCTGTCTGGGAGCCTTTGTGAAAATGTTGGAAGAAGAGGAATTACTTGTGTGGACAAACTCTCCCACTAGAAACAAATGAGACAAACAGGACAGAAGTACAGAGTACCACTGGGACAGAAGATTTGGGGGGATTTTGTAGAGAAAGGAATACTGCATTTCCTGAGCTGAGGTAAGTGACTAGTTGAATGTGGTTTTTCTCAGAAGTATCTTTATCATTCCATATGTTGGAGCACAAAATAGGCCAACTCAGGCGAAAAGGGGCTGTGCACAGGCAACTAATCATTCTTATTTGTTTAGCTGTTATAGCTTCCCTTTTCCCCACAGCCTGTGCAGAGATGCCCAGGATGGGAGGCACTGGCACCAAGATCATTATGGAATTATGAGTCCCGCTGAACCATTATTAGAGCCACTGTGGGAAATAAATCTTTCTTGGCTGGCTTGGCCCAGCTTTCTTGGGACTTGATTTAGGGCCACAGGAACCCTACTTCATTCTCCTAACACCTGCTCCTAGGAACTGGCAAGGGAAGAGCTGGAAAGTGGGGTAAATTTGAGAGGCCCTTCTGTAAGGTAGAGGATTTGACCATTTCACTCCTCACCCTGGACAACAATGACAATAACAATAACCTATCGTTAAATAGAACATAGAAAGGGCATTACAGCCAGTCATAGTGGCACATGCCCATCATCCTAGCACTACAGAAGGCTAAGGCAGGAGGGTTGCAAGTTCAAGCCTGGTGTGGACAACTCAGTGACTTAGAGAGAAGCTGCTTCAAAAAGGGGAGGAGTGAGGCTGGGGATGTTGATCAGTATGAAGGCCCTGTGTTCACTCCCCAGTACCACAAAAAAAAAAAAGAGAGAGAGAGAGAACATAGCAGTTTATAAAGCTTTCTCACATTTCTTATGCCATCTAATTCTGAGATACGTGTTTTATTGCCCCTTATTAACTAAAATGGAAACTGAAAGTTAAATATGCTAATATAACAGTGCTGGGCACATGGTAACCCCAAAATGGAACACGTGGCTTGGTGTGCCCCTGAAAGTTCCAAGTAGACCTCAGTCTTGATTTATCTCCAAGTCTAATGCTCATATATTAAAATAGGTCAGATTTTACCTATCAGAGTACATCTGTTAACATATTTATTGCATTCACCTGCCAGGTGCTATGCTATAAGGTAGAGAAAACAGACTCAGTACAGAGGTAGATTAAAACTGCAGTCAAATTCTTTGTCCTGGCCACTGAGAGGCAGGTTATATTTACCCTCACTCTGAATCTAGGCTGACCTGTAAGCAGTGCAGTACAGGAAAGCTGACACTATCGGGATGTAAGCTTAGCCTTTGAGTGTCTCTGCTCTGATTTCTCAGGAGTCCAAAGTCACTCCATAATAACTGAGACCACCCAAACAGAGAGACAGCATACAAAGGGAGAGAGGCCTGCTGAGCCTGGTGGAGCCTGGCCTAGAAGCCGTCCTGCCAACATCCCAGGCATGTGAGCGAGGCCTTCTTGGGTCCTCCAGACCAGCTCATCCTCCAGCTGAGTGCCCCTGAGAGGTCCCAGTCAACACCGCGTAGAACAGAATTGCTCAGTGTAACTCTTCCTGAGTTCTTGACCCAGAAAGATTCATGAACTATATCAAAATGGTTGTTTTAATACATAGAATTGTGGCCTTTTCCTACAAAGGGCTAGAAAGTAAATACTTTAGGCATTGTGGGTCATATACCATCTCTGTTTCACATTGCACTTGTTTTATTTTGTTTGAGACAGGGTCTCACTATATAGTTCAGGCTGGCCTTGAACTCACTGTGTAGCCCAGGCTGGTCTCGAATTCATGGTAATCCTCCACCCCAACCCCCTTTTTTTTGAGACAGGGTCTCGCTAAGTCACTAAGCGGCCCAGTCTGTCCTCACATTTGTGATCCTCATGCCTCACCCTTCCAGAGTGCTAGAGGATTGAGTATTATTGGTTCTTACTGGTTTGCTTGAGTCATGTGCCTATTTGTTTTTGTTGTTTAGTTTTTTTTAGTTGAGATAATTCACATATCATAAAATTCATCTTTTTAAAGTATGCCATTCAGTTATGTTTGTATATATATTTATACAAAATCATATATTATTACCACTAATTCCAAAACATTTCATCACCCAAAGAGAAACACTATATCTAGTAGCAGTTACTTCCCATTCCCCTTCCCTTTAGTCCTTGACAACCACTAATCTACTTTCTGCTTCTGTAGATTTGTCTCCTGGATATTTCAATAAATGGAGTCATGCAACATATGGTCTATTGTGCCTACCTTTTTTTCACTTGGCATATGGTTTTTTTTTTGGTACCTGGGATCAAACTTGGGTCCTTGCGCTTGCAAGGCAGGCGGCAGAACCACTGAGCTAAATCCCCAGCCCTGATTTTTTTTTTTTTTACACTTGGCATATGTTTTCAAGGTTCATCCATGTTATAGCATGAATCAGTACTTCATTTCTTTTTATGACTGACTAGTGTTCATTTATTTAGATAAACAACATTTCAATGGATTGTTTCTACCTTTTGGCCATTGTGAATAATGTGCTATGAATATTTATGTACAAGTTTTTGTTTACGCATTAGTTCCCAATTCCCTTGAGTGTATACCTAGAAGTAGAATTCCTAGGTTATAATGGTAATTCGATGTAGGTCCCTTTCTTGAATCAATTACTGTAACCTTAAGATGGAATGTTCTCATTGATTTAACCTAAGTTATATATTTCACTCCTGGTTCTAAGAACAAAGTCCGTGTCACTACAGCCACATGGACTGAAGAGAGACTGATGGTTTGCCAGAAAGAAATGGGGTATGATTATCAGATAGACAATAGGAGGCAGCTTCACCTATCACCACTGCAAGTAGCTACATTTATTGAATGTATGAGCCAGGCACTGTAATAATTTTATGCATTATCTCATTAAATCCTCACTGCAACCTCATGAGGTTTCTACTTTTATTTCTACTTTACAGATGAGGAAAATGAGCTTCAGAAAGATTGAGGCGCAAGTTTATATAGCTGTGAGGTGGTATTTGAGTTCAGATTTTACATCAAAGGAAAGTGTCAGAAAAAATAGATTGTGAGTTGTGTTAAAATACATCTGCTAGAGGCCCTTTTATTTCATTTGCCCAATATTTTTATAGTTAATAGAAAAGAATCTATGTAACCAAACATTTCCTTTCACACAAGGGACAGGAAAGAATAGGTTTTTATAATTTAAAAAAAGTTGACTCTTTTTTCTTTAGGTTTCCCAGTAAGCGTCCCAATTTTGTCAGATACTGCATCATTGGCATTGAGATTAAGCAGCTATATTTCTCAGAAAGCCCAATTCTTCTTGTAACCACACATCTTTTTCTAACAGGCCTAGAAATTCAGCTAAATTCTGCTTGTCATAAAATTGGCAAATGCAGAACTCTACACCATGCTCTTAACCTCCTCCAGATATGATTTATAAGAGCTCTTCTGTGGTCCTCATGATGAGGACCTCCAGACAGCGATCCCTGACTCCTTTTTCTCTGTTCCTATAGATAGGAGGAGCCCAGATGGTGTGACATGGGGAGAGACAAAGCTACGAGGTGGCCAAAGACATGAAGGAGTGTAAGAAGTCAAATTTCCTTGCCCCCATCCTCAGCCATTTCCCAAAAGGCCAGCTCTTGGTGTATCACAACAGAATACCCTCATATTAAGCTACAGACCATTATTAAACTTTATACCATCCTGACTCTTCCTTGAGAGACCACATCCTGCAACACTCTCCTCTACAATACACACACTTCTCCACCAAAGCAACTTGCATCCTGGGCCTTCAAAAGATTTACTGCCAAGCAGACAAATAAGTGAATACTCTGCAGTTGACTCCAAAGACAGGATGCTCATTTGCATGAGTAGTTGTGTGTAATTTGCATTATGTTTGCATGTCATTTGCATATCACGTCTGCCCTGTCAAAATGTACATAAATCCTTTATGCTTTCACTTTTTTTATTTTCTAAAAAGAGCTACACCCCCACATCTTGCCCAGACTGTCTGGCAAAATTACTGGTTGAGTATTCCTAGTTTGATTGTGAAGAGCCTCATGTGCCATGCTGTGAAGATTTCAAACTAGAAGATCCCAGAGGATCTTGGAACCTATTCTGAGAAACTTCATTTATTTATCAAAAAAAAATCTTGATTGAACATCTATAGTGTGTCAGGCACTGTTGTTCTAGGTACTAAGGATGTATCATGAACAATGACATAAAAGTTATAGCATTAAAAGTTAAATGCTTGCGCCGGGGATTTACCTCAGTGGTTCTGCCGCCTGCCTTGCAAGCCTAAGGTCCTGAGTTGGATCCCTGGTACCAAAAAAAAAAAAAAATTAAATGCTGTCAGGCATGATGACACAAGTCTGTCATCCCAGCTATTCAGAGGCTGCAGCAGGAGGATCAAGAGTTCAAGATCAGCCTGGGCAACTTAGTCCCTGTCTCAAAATAAATTTTAAAAAGGGCTGAGGATGAGCCCCTGCATGTTAGTGCAAGGAACTCTAGGCAGTTTAGAAACTTAGCAAGAGTTTATCTCAAAAACAAAACAACAACAACAATAAAAACAAAGGCTGTAGCTATAGCTCAGTGTAAAGGCCCTGGTGTCAATACCCAGTATCACAAAAAAAGTGTTGGATAGGAGATTGGGGATAGCTCAGTGATAGAGTACTAACATAGCATGTTCAAGGCCTTGGTGCTGGGTTCAATCTTCAGCCTCCCTCCAGAAAATAAAGTTAACTGCTGTCATTTCAGAAGATCATTTGGCACCAACCCAGTCAATAAATACAAGGTGAACCAAAACAGTAAAATCTCATGTAAAAGTGCTGTTATCAGGCTCTCTGGGTATTACAGACTATGCTTACATTATTGCTATTTTTAAAGATAAATCCTGAGACTGAAACAAATAGTAAACTTCTCAGAACACCTGAGAATGTGTTTTCAGGGATCCATTAACCCCAGGCTTGAGAAATACCAATGGGAAGGTATTAAAGGATTTAAACAGGAAGATGACCTGGGTTTGTGGCTCAGAAAGATCAATCTGCAACCATGCAGAGGAGGCACTGCAAAGAGTGAAAGGCCAGAGGCAGGGAAATCAGTAAGATACTTCAAGAGTCTAGGTGTGACTCAGATGGCATCCATCTGAAGTTGAGTGACATCAAATACATGGTGGCTCCAGAGGTTTCCCTGAAAACATCTACAGTCTTGAAGTGGGGGGCAGGGATCACAACACACATTGTTTCACTTGAAAACTCAGCCTTGAACATGTGTATGCCAATTCTCTCATATAGTGACAAGTTCTTCTCAACTTGTCCATCATCTGCCTCTCAGCTGACTTTATATTTTTCTTTATCTTTTAAACTCTGGAACTCCAAATTCATCACCCTTTTATGTTGTAGAACAATTCAGTTTCTGTTCCAAAATTCCAGCCTGATGTGGTGGCACACTCCTGTGATCCAGCACTCTGGGAGGCTGAGGCAGAATGATGGCAAGTTCAAGCCCAGCAAAATCCCAGGATGTGTGGAAAAACAAAGGCCCTTCAGTTCTACCTTAAGACTTTTAAAAAGTCTGTCCTTGGGCCAGGGATTTAGCTCAGTGGCACCTCACCTGCCTCAAGGTCATGAGTTTGATCCCTGGTACCAAAAAAAAAAAAAAAAAAGTCTGTCCTTAAGAAAAAGTTGGTAAGGAACTTATCAAGACAATAGCCCAGTAATGAGAAGAGACAGACATGCAGAGGGTAAATCAGGAATGCAGGTGGAAAGGAAGCCCGTGGATTCATGGGCTGGACCACAAAAAACTTCCATTGGCTCTTGTTCACAGGATTAGCATAGATTTACTGGTTTAGATGCTCAGAGGTGCCCAGGCAGGATCTGATTAAAAGCCCAGGGGATACCAACAGATAGAGTAGTGGAGGAGCGCTCAAGGATAAGAAATGATCAGGGAGGTGGAGAGAATGCATAGCAGAATCTAAGATAAAAGTTTCAAGAGAGAGCCAGCAATGTAAAGCACTATGGACAGGTCAGGTACAAGGAAAACTGGAAAGAAGTCCTTAGAGCTAGAGGTGAACTTCTAAGACATTTTTAGTGAGGCCTTGTGGGAGACCATAGATCACCTATACAAAAGCCATTTTCCACTTGTCTTCATTATTGGCAGGGACTGCCTCCCACTACATAAGACTCAAAACTCCCAGATACTTTGCTTTCACTTACCCCCCTTTAAACATAGAGATAGGTGTGTGACCCAGTTCTACACAAAGGAACTTGGGAAGCAGTCTTCTGGAAGCTTCTTTTTTTGTTGTTTATGTGTTTGTTTGGGGAGGGGATGAGATAGGGTCTTGCTTTGTAGTGCAGGCTGGCACTGAATTCACTATGTAGCTCAGATTGGCCTTGAACTCACTGTTATCCTCCTGCCTCATCCTCCCAAGTACTGGGATTATAAGCATGCACCAACACACCTCGCTTGTTTTTGTTTTTTGAAACAGGGTCTTGCTGTGTACTTCAGGCTGGCCTCAAACCCGGTGATTCTCCTTCCTCAGCCTCCCAAGTACTGGGATTACAGCCATGTGTCACTATGCCCAGCTGGAAGCTTCCAAAATAGATTTTTCCTCCCCAATAAAAGATATGCTCAGGAAAAAACCTTCAAACACTTCTTTCCTGCCTTGGAAGTCGTCATATAAATTCACACTATTCTAAGGTGCGGCAGCCATCTTAGAACTATGCTAAGACAAACCCACAAATGGAACAAATTCCCTGAGAATGGCAAAAAGGAAAATGAGAAAAGTTTGAATCTTTCTTTTGTTGTTGGGGAAAGAGATGTATGTGCTGAGTTTGAACCCAGGGCCTTCATAACAACCTATATCCCCAGCCTTTTTTAGGCTCAACTTCTGATCCTCTTGCCTCAGCCCCCCAGAGTACTGGGATTATAGGTGTGTGCCACTAAGAGATTAGGGTATGGCAGAGCTAGCTGGGGAAGCAGACAATTACAAGATCCCCCATACATGCACAGAACAGTTCCCAAATCCCTACAGGTGAACTTTCCAGAACTCAAGCAGGTTTTCAATGGGATGGCCTAGACCTGACCTCAGCCTGAGACTGGGACCCCAGCACCGCCTCAGAAACTAGAAGTTTGAAGGTTTTCTCAAAATTTGGACAACATACAAGGATGAAGGCACCAAGAGGAACTTGCTATCATGATTTTCTTCAAGGTAGCTTGCCCTGCTTTCTCCGAAGTGTCCTTTTATTGCTTTTTCTCCTTTCACTCCCCTAAGCTCACTCTACAGAGCCAGTTTCTCCCTCGCTCTTCACTTTTACTTGGCCAATGCTTTTTGCTCGTTTCTTTCAATTCTTTGTTCGAGACATAAAAACCTGGAGTCTAACTCCAGAAGGAGAGGTGACCAACTCAGAACCCAGTAACGTTTAATTGGTGAGCCACTTTTAGAAGGAGCTCCCCAATAAGACCACCACAACACCTGGTTTAAAAGCTGTTATTGGGTAGCCCCCCCTCTTTTTTTTTGTTTCTCCTGAAGTTAGATTCCAGGTTTTCTCATCTTGAACAAAGAATTGGATGAGACAAGCTAAAAACAGTGCCAAAAGTTTATTTGAAAAATGAGGGATGAGGGGGTACAGGAGAAACTAGCTCTGCAGAGCAAACTTGGGCAGAACAAGAGAAAAAAAGATAAAAGCAAAAATAAAAGTACACAATACATCTGGGAAACACAGCATGGGCTACCATGGGAAGTCACGATAACAAGTTCTTCGTGGCTCTCCTTTTTTTTTTTTTAGCAAAACATTTACTGATACCTTTTAGATATACATAATGATAACACTCATCACAGGAAATTTGCACCTGTACATGATATATCTTGCTGCTTCTTTATTTTCCCATTCCCCCTCCTCCCTTCAACCCCTCTTCCCCTCCTTATTTACAATAGCTTTGTTTCCATTTTCTCCTTCTATTCTCTCTTTTTTTCCTTTATCCCTTCTTTCCTTCCCCCCTCCCTCCTCCCTTGTTCCCCTTCCCATTTCCCAATATCTATTATACATTTTAGTCCTTATTTCCACTTTTAGTTTCTCACACCAGAGAAACAATGCAGTATTTAAATATGTGTGTCCAATTTATTTCACTTAAGAATATAGTCTCAAGGTGCATCCATTTAGCTAGAAATGTCTCAAGCTCATCCTTTTTTTTTTTTTTTTAAGAGTAGGAAAAATGTATTGAGAAGAAGATAGCTTCTGTCTAAGAGAGACAGAAGAGGGACCAGAAAGTGGGTTGGCCCTCAAGCACCTCCTTCTTTGTGGCAGAGTAGTACTCCATTGTATAAAAAAACCCACATCTTTATCTATTCATCAGTTGATGGGCATTTGGGCTGTTTCCAAGATTTAGCTATTATAAACTGTGCTTCTATAAACATGGGTGTGCATATATTGCTGTCGTATGATGCTTTTAATTCTTTTGGGAACATACCAAGAAGGGGAATAGCTGGGTCAAATAGAACCTCTAGTTTTAGTTGTTGTTCTTTTGTTTTGTTTTATTTTGTTTTCCAGTACTGGGGTTTGAACTCAGGACCTTATGCTTGCCAGTCAGGTGTGGGGCCACTGAACTACATCCCCCACCCTCTAGATTTAGTTTTGGGTATTGGGGTGTTTTTTTTTTTGGTACTGGGGATCAAACTCGGGACCTTGCGCTTGTGAGGCAGGTGCTGGAACCACTGAGCTAAATCCCTGGCCCACTAGTTTTAGTTTTTTGAGAAATCACACTGATTTCCAAGTGGTTGCACCAGTTTACACTCCCACCAACAGTGGAGAAGGTTTCCTTTTTTTTTTTTTTTTTTTTTTTGGTACCGGGAATTGAACTCAGGTCCTTGTGCTTGCAAGGCAGGCGGCGAAACTGAGCTAAATCCCCGGCCCAAGTTTTCCTTTTTCTCCACAGCCCTGCCAACATTTGCTATTGGTTGATTTCTTTTTTTTCTTTTTTGGTACCAGGGATTGAACTTGGGACCTTGCGCTTGCAAGGCCGGCGCTGGAACCACTGAGCTAAATCCCCAGCCCCTGTTATTGGTTGATTTCTTGATAACAGCCATTCTTTCTGGAGTAAGATGAAATCTCAGCATTGTTTTAATTTGCATCTCTTGAATGATCAGTGATGGGGAACATTTTCTCTTGTATTTATTTGCTGTTTCTACTTCTTTATCTGAGAAGTATCTATTTCAGATACCCATTTTTGGATTGGGTCTTTAAATTTGGGGGGAGGTCTGATTTTTTTGAGTTCTTTATATTCTAGATAGTAGTCCTTTGAGAAATAGCTGGCAAAAATTTTTCCCCACATTGTGCATTGTCTCTTCACTCTGTTGGTGGTTTCTCTTGCTGTGCAAGACCTTTTTTTTTTTTTGGTACCGGGGATCAAACTTGGGTCCTTGTGCTTGCGCAGCAGGTGGCAAAACCACTGAGCTAAATCCCCGGCCCTACAGAGCTTTTTAATAAGATGAGATCCCAGTTGTTGATTCTTTGTGATAGATAGTTCCTGTGCAATGAAAGGTTTTACTCATAAAGTCTTTGCCTACACCAATGTCTTCAAGAATTGTACCTATTCTATCTTCAAACAGATTTAGTGTGTCTGGTTTAATATTTAGATCTTTGATCCATTTCAATTTTAGTTTAGAGCATGGTGAAAAATATGGATCTAGTTTAATCTTCAGCAAGTGGAAACACAGTTTTTCCATCACCATTTATTAAAAAGGCTATCAGTCTTCTAGTGAAGGTGTTTGGCTCCTTTGTCAAAGATAAGGTGGCTGAGTGTGTTTGGAGTTGTTTCTGCATCTTCTAATCTGTTCTACTTATCCTTAGGTCTGTTTCTTTGGGAGTACTATGCAGTATTTATCACAGTAACTTTGTAGAATAATTTCAAGTCAAGGATTGTTATGCCCCCTGCCTTGCCTTTGTTGCCCAGAATTGCCTTTGCTATTCCAGGTCTCTTCTGGTTCCAAATGAATTTTAGGATTGTTTTTTCTAATTCTGTGAGATATGCTGTTGGAATTTTGATTGGGATTGCATTAAATCTGTATAACAATTTTGGAAGTATGTCCATTTTTCACTACATTGGTTCTTCTTACCCAAGAACAAGAGATATCTTTCTATTTTCTGATATTGCCTCTCCTTTTATACTGTCCAAATCTCAAGAAAACCCATGAGAACTACATATGGGTCCTGAGAGGGGATGCTGAGATCCCATCCCTCAAGCTGACGTCAGATCTAGGCTATCATATTGAAAACCTGCTCAAGTTCTCCAGAGAAGTCCACATGCAGGGCTTTGGGAACTGTTCTGCACTTGTGTTCAGAATCCTGTAATCAATGGGTCAGCCTACTTCCCCAGCCAGCTTTGCCACACCCTACTCTCCTATCTCAGCTGGACTCTTTAATGGCATACTAAATAGACACATTAGCTAAACCTGGAGGTACTCACCTCCGGATTCTCTTTCTTTCTTTATTTACTTAATTATCTGTGGTACTGGACATTGAACCCAGGGCCTTAATGCTGAGCTACTTTCCCAGCCCTGTCTCACTTTTATTTGGGGGCAGGGTCTAGCTAAATCATCAAGTTGCCTGGGCTTGGCTCAAAATCTAGATCCTCCTGCCTCAGCCTCCCAGGGTACTGGGATTACAGGCATATGCCACTGCCCTCAGCTACTCTGAATTTCTCTTTTTTCTTTTCTTTTCTTTTTTTTTTTTTTTTTTTTGAGACAGAGTCTCACTATGTAGTTCAGACTAGCCTTGAACTTACTATATAGCCCAGGCTGGCCCAAACTCACAGTGATCCTCCTCAGCCTCCACAATACTGACCTGCAGCACCACACCTGGCCCTCTGAATTTCTTATGTGAGATAAATATATGTTCTTATGTATTAAATCACTGTACTCAACTATTCCATTATTGCAACAATGATACATGGTGGCTATGGTGGTTAGGTTTGTATCAACTCAATTGGCTAGGGAGCCACCAAGGGGATTAGTAAAGCACATTCTGGGTGTATTATAGAGGAATAACCTTGGATACTATATATGGTCCCTCAACCCTTCCTCTCTGGTACTGTTCCCCTGCTTTATTTTCTGCCCACATGAACTAAGCAGTTTTGCTCCAACACACCCTTTCGCCATGTTAGTTCTGCCTTGGAACTAGCCTATAACCATGGACTAAATCCCCTGAAATAGTAAGCTAAATTAAACCTCTCCTCCTTTAAATTGTGGGTGTCTGCCTCAGCGATGGGAGAGGTAATACAGTGGCCAAAATTACATGAGGAGGACAGAATGGAAAACAAGAAAATAAAGACACCAAGTGCTGTCCAGTGGTTCCCAAATGCCAATCCATGAACCAGCTGCATTAGAATAACATGGGAAACTTTTTAAATACACAGATCTCTAGTTTTATTGCTGGTATATTCTGATTCAGTAATATTCAGCACAGCACCTAGGGATATTTCTTTTTAATAAGTACCCTAACTAATACAATTTGGAAAGTTGTTGGCACTTTCAGATAAAGCTAAATACACACCTATTCTATGACCTG